TCTTTAGTAAGCAGAGGGATATGGATTTTTGCAATATGCTGAAGCAGTGCAATAACAGAAGCAATGATTGTAAATATTAATATTAGTTACAAATCATGATTAATCTCTAGGATAGGCAGAATTTCAGGGTAAAACATTTGAGTTGATGCAATGTCACCGGTGATGGCAGTGTTCAATCACTCTGCTTCAGCAAAAGGAAGCAGTCCCCCTTACTTGGAGGTCTTTGGGGAGCAAAATTCCCTTCTGGCTCTAGGATGCCCCAGAGATGCACAGAGGCACTCAGGACTAAAGCAGAGCTGTGTGCCCACCAGATCAAGTCACTGAATGCTGGAATAAATGCAGCCCAGACACTGTTGATACCCAGATGCTCCAGCTCCATGAGCAGCTGGAAGGCACCAGATGACGGGACAGGGATGCACCCAGCAGGTACGAGGTCCCTTGCACAAGCTTTGCCAGGCTCTCAACATCAAAATTTTGTGTGCATTGTCACGTTAAGCACCTAAGAGCTGTTTATAGTTTGCATATTTTTGCATTGTTATCGCCCAATTAAGCTGAAGACGTCCAGACTAATCTGTCCCAAGAGAACAAGGAAACCCAGCGACAGTCAACTTTCAATCTGGTTAATTGGTCAGAGGATAAAAATTCAAACTGTTTGGGCTCATGTGTGCCATGCATGTCAGGAAGGCAAGGTTAGTAGTTTCTTTTATATAGAATTAAACCTTTTTGAGAGGTTAGCAAATGTTTATTAAGAGACATCAAGTATCACTTGTATAAAATAATACTTTCCAAGGACCACTGGAGAACTTGTTTAGACGTTTTTCTCTGAGGTTCCAGCAAAAAAATTTAATTTTGACAACCCCAGCATTTTGTCTAAAAGCACCTGTCTCATCAAGTTATTTCAACCAGAGAATGGACTGGATAAGGAAAACAGATGTCTGATGCATCCTCAACAAGAAACAAGAAAACATATGCCATGAATATTTTTATGGTCTTTTCTCTCTGTTACTGTTATTATTACCATGCAAATAATGTGCATGGGAATCTTTAAACATCTTCTAACCATTCAGTAAATCGTTTCACAGAATAATGAATTCAGTACTATAAATCAGCCCCAAAAATTTAATGACTTCTTTTAGTTTTTATGTTGCATCTGGAAACTAACAGAACGTGGTACTTTGGTGCACTTTCAGAGGGTGATTCTTAGCTTTTCCTGAGATGCCCTCTCCTCAGCTTTCCATGCCTGTGGTCAGGACCTCTGTTTCCACTGAGGACATTCTGACCATGCCCAGTGCTGTACTGTACAGCAGAGAAACTGCCTTGTGTTCTTGGAACTCAGCCCTGTGTTACACAACTGCAGTTCAAAGGTTACAAAGGCAGACTTTGCCAGCACTCTGTGCACTTCAAAGCCGTGGCAACAATTGTTGGATCAAACAGAGAGGAAAGAAGTTGCCTGTGGGTCCCCAAAGCAAACTGGAGTCTCAGAAGTAAAAACAGGATCCAGAAGGATCTAACTGAGAAACAATGAGGAAAAAAAAAAAGCTCATTTATGCAGAACAAAAAGCTGAGTCCTCAAGAAACTCTCCAAGTTGCTTCGACATCCAATCAATATTTTCTCTAGCACATATGGAACAAGGCTCAGCCAACTTCCTCCTCCAGACATTCCCGTTTCTGACTATCCTTAGAAAGAAGCAAGGCAGCTAATTCAAAATCTCATTCATATGTACAGGAGCCACCAGACTTTTAGGGACAGTCTCACCATCCCATTTTCCTGACTCAGCAAATTACTGCAGACAAGCTCAGCCATACATCCATATATATCCATACACATGCTCTTAGCTCAAAGCAGATGTGAGGTAATGTCACACAAACTCAATCCCCTAATGACAGACAGAAAATCTGAAATTTTTGACAAATGCAATTGAGAGAAAGGAGATTTAAGACTGGTCATACATACCACTTGGGTGAAGATGAAGCCTGGTCTACAAAATCTACATAAGCAAGGTGGAATTCCCATTCCATACAAGCCTGACTCTTTCTTATAGTCAGCACCAAAGTCACATCAGCTTAGGAATGGCCACATAGTCCTGGCTGAGGCTCAATGCCAGCAATTTGGATTTGCTTGAGTATGACCTCTCCCTTGTGCTGCAGCAAAACCTCCTCAAAAACTCCCTTTTAAGAAACTATTTTCTACAAAATTAACGTTAATGAGCCTCCTTGAAGAGATGGAACACCTCCGTTTCAACTTCAACATCTTGAGGCTCAGACTTTTCTTTGAAACCCAGGATTTTCAGTGCACATGCTGCCAAAGAAGATTTGCTGAGGACAACAGCCTCCTCATCTGCCCAGTCAGCAACTTGGATGGTGGGTGTTCATCTCTGCTGTTTCAGTGAAGAGCACATCACTGCAGCTCACATTATCACTGAAATGGGTTCCTGCAGAGATGCTTGACATTGATGTGGAAGGGCTGGGGCACACATTATTTTCTGCTGACTTGCCAGAGCTCATCTCCTGGTGCCTCTAGGCCCAGACATGCAAAGTCTAAACTGCTGAAATATGGGGGCAAATACTGCCAGAGCTTGAACTCATGCATAAACATCACTTGATTTTAATGGCATTTATACCCCAGTTTGTAGGATTATAGAATCACAGAATGGTTTAGGTTAGAAGGGACCTTAAAGATCTTCTAGTTCCAACCCCCTGCCATGGGCAGGGACACCTTTCAGCAGACCAGGTTTCACTCAGAGCCATATCCAGACTGGCCTTGTGCACTCAGGATGTGCTCAGGGCCGTAACCACATATCAGTATTTAACTGAGAATTCAGACACAATTCTGCAAACACTTCCTCTATTTTGATACATTTTGTTAGTTTATTTTAGAAAAAATCCTTCAGCTAGCACAATTCCACCTGGGAAGGAGCATGTGTGCTGTCTTCTCTCTCAGGCCCTGGAAATATCAAGAAACAATGTCTTTAAGTATTTTAGAAACTCTGTTTCCACAGCAGCGACTGCATTTTAAAACTTTGATGGCCATTTACTACTTACAAGAGCATTTAAAAGGGTAAATTTCATATCACAACAACCTGTATGTTAATTGCTAAGAGTTCATTTGAAGATGTGGTTTGAAGATTTTTAATATGAATTTGGAAGAGAATGTCCTAAAAAAATGAAGGCAAGTTTCTCCCAGTGTGTTGCAGAGGTACAACAGTATCATGCTGTGAGTTCATGCTAATAAAGGCAGTAAGGAAAAGGAAATAAGTATGCCTTAAATTCTGAAAATAATCTCTGACTCGAAGCTCACGTTTGAGTGGCAGACTGTCATATCATGGTCAGTCCCAACAACTGAATTCCTACATGCTTGTGGCAGCACATATTTTATGCTTCTCTCTGTCCTGAAACCCCACAATTTTCCATTTGTGTGACATTTTACTGCCTCTTCATTTTATACCAGGAAGAAATGCTGATGGATTGGCACCACATCCAAAACAGAAACTGGCATCATTCTCAGACTCACGCGATTTACAGCAACTGCTAAGTAAATTGGGATACTTTTTTTAGTTCCCACTCTTTCTTTTTTAAAAATAAATCTTAAAAAATACAATCCCAAAGGCCTAACAGGCCCACATTTACAGATGGCAGCAGTGGGTCATAAATGACAGATTTTCCTGGTACTATTTATGAGAGCTAAATACACTGAACATATTATGAGCCATTTGTAATGTTCTTCAGCAGAACAGTCAGCCAAGAGACAGAGTTGAAAGCCTGTTGCAACAAAAGGTATCAAAGTGAGGAGGAGAACAGTATCTATAATTACTACTCCAGTGATAAAACAAGCATAGTACAGCAGATGGGTTTAACACAAGATCACTATTAAATAAAACACTGGCTCCAATACCAAGGGATGAATATTCAAGAGGGAGTGAATTAAGTAAAAGTGTATAAAGGCAGCAAACAGCTCAGTTAACCTAGAAGTAATGTGTAACTCTAACCAAAGAGATCAAACCCCACACAATTCTTCATGCTGGTTGAACAGCCCTTCTGCTCACAGTTAGGTATTAATCAACCCAAATGACAGGACTGAGCATACTGATGGCACAGGAACCTGGCCATGTGACACTCTTTAAAAAACGTGTAAAACTCAAATCCAAAACAAAATCAAAACCTGATAATATCAATTTACAGAGCTTTTTCACTTACCACTTAGAAACGTCTCAGTTCTTCATCAGAAACACACTCTAATTCATCTTTTTGGCAGCTTCATAGCTGTAGAACGTTGTTTGACAAAACAGGAGCCAAGTTACAATCTAAAAAAGGGTTTCTTTTCATTTTTAGAAGTTTTGAAAAATATTTTATGGTCAAAAGTAAGGCTGAAATTAATTAAAGTGACTAAGGCTGTACCACAGAGTATGGAGCTGCAATGTTCATGCTTCAGAGCAGGGCTCCAGCTCCCAGTGGGTTTGGAAGCAGCAGAAAGGATGCCACCACTAACAACACATTTTGAATATTTTTTTTTTTTTTTGGTCAACTTGCAGTGTTTTTTAAATGAATGTTTCTGTAATTTTGGTATTATCTATGTAATATCTTCTTTAGCTGAGACTCAACACTTCAAAAGCTTGAGACTCACCTACTCAGCTTTGTGAGATTATTTAAACTATGCTATAACTCAAAAAAGGAGAGGAAAAACAGTAACAGCAGAAGGCACAAGTGCAGAACCAATGTATACCATTACATATAATTTCAGAGTAGAAAGGCATTGAACATCATAAAAGATCCAAACCTAAAATACCCAAACACTTTCTTGGCGATATTTTCTCACTGAAAATATCCAAACGCTATGACCCATCCATACCCCTCAGGACTGAGGCTGCACCAGACAAATCCCTTTGAGAATGCTGTGACTGGAAATACAAACCATTCCCTGGTGATTCTCTTCAGTTGCCTGGGCTCCCATCAGGTTGGCTGAAGTATCAGGAAAACAGATGAGTGGAGCCTGATCAACTACGCAAGATTTAGAAGTTATTTTTAAAATCTATGTAAAATTAACAGGTTTTCAACCTTAAAAGTCTTTCTACATTTTAAGAACTAAGAGATGGGAGAGACAGAGTCTTGGTGGTGTGTATTTATATGCATGTATGTGTATGTAAATAAAACCACACACATATAAACACACACACACACATACATATATATGGTACTAAGTTTCAACAACAGCAACTGAGTAGTTGCTCCTTGTCTTGATTTTACATGGTCACACATGCCGATGTGCTAAGAAGAATCAATGATATTAACCTCAGACATAGTTAAAAGCCCTGCCTCTCCTGAAACTTTAGTTTCTGACTATTTTGGGGAAGGAAACTTTATACTGGAAAACCGGGAACCTTTGCTTTAAGGCCTGTCAAATGATTAATACATATTTAATAGATGATTAATACATTTTTAATGGATGGCCTTTGGCAACTGTGACCTACAGTTTACTAATTTAGAAAGGGATGAGCAAGTAGAATTAAGGTGTAGTTCCTCCTTTATCACTACACTCGCATGCATGCTTTGTATGGAAAACTTTATTTGATAATAAAAATAGCATTCACAGACTTTCTCCTTCTTTGTTGCTACATCATATACATAGTGTCTGTTCCAAGGAAAGAAGCTCGTACTGGGTAAGTCCACATCTACTCATACTAGTGTTATGTATAAACCCAATTAAGTCAAATAAAGCTATGAACAATGTAGTATTTATATATGCATAGTGTTTTATAAAAAAGATTGGCCCACATACTGCTTTTCATCAACACAGAAAGAGCATTATGTCTATAGCACGTTGCAAGAAATGATGACTGGAGAATATAGACTGCATACAAGTGCTTAATAATACATAAGCAGGCCCACCATGAAGGAAGAAATGATATTCAAACCAACAAAAGCTTTAGAATTACTTACACAGTCTCCCCTTTTAAAACCGCTTTACATACCTGATTCAGTTTACATTAAAATATATTCCCTGAATCAATTTGTTCCATTTTCAGAAATATAAACACTTAATCACATTCCTCACAGCTAAATTTTGTCATAAATCCTCTTTTATACAAGAAAAAGGCAACAGTTTTGTTTTTTTTTCCAACAGGCTCTATTAATTACAATTTAAACTGTACACACAATGATCGGCCATCTTCTTTCTTGGTTTTGTTTTTACAGTACCATGGCAACAACAGTGATAGACTTGCAATGGTTTTGTGTTCATATGGAGGATGTGAGTCAGTATACATGTACACACCAATGCACTGTAAAAAGCAGCAGTTTACTTTAGTGGTCCAACAGTAACGGCAAACATTTTGGCTCAGCTAGGCAGTAATCCATTACATCTTATACCAATGCTACAGCAGACTTACCACACAACTTGCAAATTTAAAAATACAACTTAGAAACTTGCAGGTTTCCCTTTTGCTGCTGTTCTTAGACTCAAATTTACAGCATACAACCAGTACAGATAGGCTTCTACAACCAGGTTGTCCCACTGATTGCCTCTTTTTGCCTGTGTTTTAACTTTGATTTTTTCTTTTTTCTTTTTTTTTTTTCTTTTCAGCAAGTGCACTCCTTTTGTCTCAGTAAGGATGAACCAGTAAAACAAAAAAAACCCCTAAATACAGAGTGATAAGAAGAGAGAGCTTTTGGAATTTGGCAAAATTAAGAAAAGCCCACTGGTTTTTGCCTGAGCAGAAGGAATACACCTACTCCCAGAGGGAGGACTGAGCTCCCACCGCATTGTGCCTTGTCCCAGAATCCCGATCCCTTCCCTTGCTTCCAAGCAGACACACAATACCATGCATGCTGGGGTTGCTGTCCATATACAGCTAGAAGATGAGCAGGGCTGCAGCGGCTGCCTTAATGACATATCGTTACGTGTTGCTGAGGCTAATGAGAGATCAACAGTCTATATCAGCGTGTGACACAGGCATGGTGGTGACCAGTCCTTCTGCCTCTGTGCATTCTGTCAAGGGGGCCTGAAAGTATAAACTGTTCATGGAACAAACTAGAAATTCCTCATCGTAAATCATCTTGTGCTGTGTGGGTTTGCATTTATTTTTTTTTTATTATTTATTATTATTATAAATATCCTTCATTGAAACAGTAGTCTCTTCAAACAGTTCTTGCAATTTTAGGAACATTTGTCTCTTTCTGTTTTAATTCCTTCAGCAGGAGCGCTCCATTCCTACTGAGATGAACAATTTTCTTCCTTCCCCACCCCCAACCCTTAAAAAATTTTCTACATACAGTGTAGCAGTGAGTCACTAGAGAACAGTCTGGATCAAATTATTCAAACTTGGTCATAAAATCCTTTGCCTATATTATATTACCGGCTACCCCCACTTACTGTAATGGGGAGGGGGGAAAGTAGCCCAATAAAGGAATTCATTTTTAAGAAATCTACAAAGAATGTAGAAACAAAATTTTATAATCCTTTAGGACCAACATTTGGCAAGTAATTAAAAAAAAAAGAATACACTGAAAAATACTTTCTTTAATATTATACATCAGGCACAACACTTTTTTTTTTTTTGTTATAAGATTTCATCTGCATAAAAGGTTTGTAGGATCAGCAGGTGCCGGATGTCTCCTCGTCTGCGAAAGCCAGATGGTCTCAGCTCCCGCACTCTCTCCTCTGCTCCCATGGTGTGGGGAAGGCGACAGGGACCCCGGGGAGCCCCTCAGATGCTGAGGTCGGTGCTGCACTCCTTGTAGGGCCGCCTGCGCTGCTCGGGTGGGTGCCTGCGGCTCGGCTCGTGCTTCCAGCTGGGCTCTTCCCTCTCCCGGTGGCCGAGTCGTTCCTCCCTGAGCCGTCTGTCGGGCGACCTTTCCCTCCGCCGGTCAGAGGACTTGGCCCGCCGGTCGAGGGAGTTCTCTCTTCTCCGCTCGGGTGACCTCCTCGGCTCCGTGAGTCTCTCCAGCGACCGCCGCCGGCGGCCGGGCGACCGCTCTCTGCGCCTCTCAGGGGAGAGGTCCCTCCTCCTCTCATGTCGCTCCCGCCTCTCCAAAGTGTTGTCGGCACTCCTTGTCCCTTCCCTCCGCTTTTCGGGAGACCTCCTCTTCTGCCCGTTCACCACTGCCCTCTCCGGCTGCCTCTCGTGCCTCCTCTCCGGCGACCTCTCCGTCCTCCTGCCTGGCACGTGGTCGTTGGTTTTAGAAGTCCCATTCCAAGTGTGGTGTTCATTGGGATGTCTGCTAAACTCTCTGCTGCCTTTTAGGTCTCTAACGTAAGTCCGCTTGTCCCCATGTTGTGATGATTTGTGAAGGTCTGGTGGATAACTGGACTCCGATGATGGGTGCTGCCGTCGGTCGGATGGCACGGGTTTCATTTCCGATACATTTTGTGAACCTGTGGCGGGACTGTTCCTGTCACTGCTGGGGTCTGAAAGAAAATAACAGCAAAGCGTTTGGTACCGATGCCTTCCCCGGCGGCCGTGACACCACTTAGCACTCTTCAGACTTCATTAGTGACAAAAACAAACAACTGTTAAAGCAGTCAGCGAAGGCTAACCCAAGCTTTTGTTAATTTAACTGTGAACAAGGAGAGTTACAGGTTAGTACTGGTGCTGCTCTGATCGTTAGCCATGTTTTGGTCCGAGCTGATATCATCTTTATGCTCTTCTGGGCATGGGGCATTTTACATTTTCCCCAAGCCCAATTCATAATGTTTCAGTTAGACTACTTTCTTTCCAGTGGAAAAAAAAATAAAATATTATAGTTTGGGTTGTTGGCTGGTTTTTTAAATAGTTTCCAATAAAGAGGGCCTTTAGGAAACAACTTGTGCCTTTCAAGTCATTACAAAGAACTGCCTTCCAGGTGTGGGAGGCTGTGGTTCAAATAGCAGAAAATGTACAGAAAATAGAATTGATTCTTAAGTTTTCACCTTGTAAAATAACACTTTGAAGGTGTGAGAATTAGACTGTAATAATACAATTTCCATTTCATTTAAGACATCACTTAATCTCACTTAGTTCTACCATGTTACAAAAAATCCTAGGGTAGATTTTGGTTTTGCCACAATGATTCAAACAACAATGACAGAAGTTATGATTTTTTCATATCAAAGCAATGGAAAGATATTGTAACATGTACGATGGCTTTGATTCAAATCTAATCTCCAGTTCATTATTTTTTATGTAGTATTTGAGGTAAAATAGAGCTGAGCTACTTCTGCAAGAAAAACTGCAAAGCAGAAGTACAAAAACAACCCTCAAACTAAACCCCAGCCCTGCGCTGCAGCTAAGCTACAATTACTGCTGTAATTTGTAACGGATGTTTATGAATGATTCATTACAAACACGAAAAACATTGAAGTAGCTGCGCTGCCTTAATGCAAGTGCTGCTTTTATTTGCTTAACTTTTTTCTTTTTAGAAGTAACTCCTGCACGGCAGCTCGGCTGCCTTTAGCTGCTTCCTGCTGCTCGCACCCAGACACCCACCTCGAGGTGGACTGTCCTGATGTACACGACTGAACACCCTCACAAACACTTTTGGGGACGGATTTTTTTTCCCCCCTCTTTTTCTCCTTTTTGTCTTCCCTCCCTCAGGACAAACTCTCTACACGCTCATTCCTCCTGCCATCAGGCCAAGCATCTCCCATTTGATGGCATTTCCATTCCTGAGCTTGGGAGGGTCGGTGTGTGTATGTGTGTGAATTTTGTGATTTCCAGGTGAACCCTCTGTTGCGACCCACGTGTGGGTAATTTTGCTCATTAGGATTTTCAGGCAGCAGCTGGGGACCACACTGCTTTTCCTTGGCTGTAAGCACGTGGCTTGCAGCAACCTGGCTAATCACACAAGGTACAAGCGAGGCTTAAACGTGTCCTGTGGTGTGTGTACTTACAATTCAGGGGACGCAGGGTGTTCGGGATGAATTGCTGTACATATAAAATATAGCGAAGCGGAAAGCAATGTGAGGGAATTAGGCCACAGCACAAAAACACCTAATATTGATTTTAGCTACAAACCGTAGTTTGATTATGGCCCATAAGGTAGAAGCAAGACTCCCCGAGCTTGTCATTTCTCATACATGCAGCGATATTAGGAGGTATCATCGCTGAGGAAGGAAGAGCCCAGCACCAAGAAAAGTGAGAGAAAGAGAAAGAGAAAAGTAGAAAATTTAGATTCCCTATAACAAAGATGAAAGAAAGAAAAATCTTCATATTTTATCTTAGAATAAAGAAAGTTTATTTTTCCAGTCAGATTGTCTAGGCTTCACCCAAATATAAGGCTGCAAAGACAGCAGTTGTTATTATTGTGACATAAAGAGACATCTAAGAGGTGATTCAATAACCCAGACAACGAGAGCATCCATTCTAAAAGACAGCTGGAACAGTGACACAGAATGTCATAGAAAAAACATTAACAATCAAACAACAACGAAAAATAAAGTCCACCAGAGACCACAACATTAAAAATAAGTACAAAACTCATTACAAAAATATACAGCCTCATAGAGAAGCACGTTCCAATTGAGTCAGAAAAATATTGGAACTTAACATTATTAGAGGAACCATTTGCGACTGCAGCGAACAGAACAAAGAGAGGAAGGAGTCCCAAATGTTACAAGGATATTCTTTACAGTAGTGCAACCCCTGTAGATTAAATCCTTGCTTGGAGAACAAACTTTTAGTGGTTAGCATTAGCCAAAAGAAAATTGGTGGTGGATTTCCATCCTCAGTGCAACAGACATATGCTTTGAGAAGTGAAGCACTTAATTTACAGGGTATTTATGCAGTCTAGCATATGATACAGTACTGTACATCCAAAGGAGCATAGGAAAAGACAAAAGTAGAAAGAACATTACAGAATTTCAGTGCCATCATTGAACTTTCTGGTGTGCTATTTATATTACAGAAGTGTAAACCCACAACTTCCCTTCCATATCGTTAAACACTTCAATTGTTTGTTGGTTATACTCTGAATTGGTCATTTTAAGTTAAGTAATGAGCAGACTGAGCAGAAACCCTCAAACATGGTACAGTAAATGAAAAGAAAATCTAGTTCATAAATTGTGCAGAAGGGTTTTGTTTCTGGTGTTAGGACATGGAGAGAATGATAAACACAGAACTTACTGACACAGAAATAACCCAAACAAGGGGAGGAAAGTATAAAGGGCATCCCTTCAATCATCAGTTTCTATAGAAACCTCAAAGACCTTTGGTTGGGAGTAGCCCTCCATCGAGGGCACAATATTTGACAATTATCTCAAATAAATAAGACATAATTATAATATTAAATAGTGTGCTAAGTTAAGCCACCCAGCAATCCAACCTCCAGGGGAAGAAAAGGAAATCTAATGCAATTCTTAGTAAGAAACAAGGACTGACTGTTTCCCCCAAGACACACACGAGAGCACCTTTTCATAACCTCCTCACCTTTTCAGACCTTACAAATTAACTAGTTGAAACCAGCAGACAGTTTAAGGGGGGAGAAAAGGGCTCAGGAGGCCAAATCAATATATTTTTGCAGTAAAGCTTTTTTTTTTCCTTCTTTTTCTTAAATAACTTTATAAATATTTACATAAATATTAAGGAAAGGCAAAAATCTCATAAGCCATCTCGGCATTCATGTCTATGGATACAGACAGGAACTAAGAGAAAAACCTAACCGAAAAAAAATCACTGCTTCAGAATAGTAACTTGGGATCCCAGTTTTTGCATTGATTAGAAGTAGAGACCTATTTGAAACAACAATTCAGCCGCTGAGAAACAGTTTGGCACAGTTCAATGACATTCCTTGTTTGGCTGGACAAGACAATAAGGTTTTTTGTTTTGTTTTCCTCTCTGATCACCAAAAAATACTGCTATGATGATCTTGCCTTACACTGTGCCCCAAGTCCATGGAAGCAAGCAAAGGATGAAATGTGTAGAAAATTCAGCACAAGCGAGGCAATTATATGTTGCAAAGGTTGGTAAGACACTGGTGAGAAAGGAAAATAAAAAAGAATTCCCGCTTCAGATCTTGAGACAAATCATTCATGGAGTGATGCCAGGGAAGAAAGGAATGTTTTCATAGTTTGACCCACCATATTCTGGGACTGAGCCATCTCCACGTTTCAGAAACAGGCGGACCTTGCGGCCACCATTTTTAATCAGTTCGATGGCCCGAGCGTGCTTCATGTTCTTGGTGGTTTCTCCATTGATCTCTAAGATTTCATCACCGATCTGTCAAGGTAATAAAAGAGTCTAAGATTAGAAGCAAGCCCCCACAAGGGTCCCCTCCAGCACATCACAAGACAATGGCCACAGCAAAGGTGGGACAACTATGCACCAGATGAAGCTAAATAAGCCCAACTCCTTCCAGTGACAGTCCACAAAAAACAGTGTGCAGGGGCCTGGGAGACATGAAAGTGATGGGGAAAACTTGAGGTATCAAAATATTTCATTCCTGTTTTGCAAAACCACATTGCAAAACCGTATTGCTCAATAGTAAGAGCAGTGTTAGAATTGTTGCTATTCTACTTAGTCTTGATTATTTGTAAAGTCTTCAAAATGGTTGTTTGTTTCACAGTCTAGTACAACTGGGATGTTCACAGAGCTTTTTCAGGTCTGTTTCTCACTTGGATATTGATACTACTATGAACCAGCAAAGCTGCTTTTGTAAATATAATCATTTATCAGGAAAGAAAAAAGGGCTTAGAAGAGGTTGTCAAAGCATTGACTTCCACAGGGCAGCACTGATTTTTCATCATATTTTCATCAGAAAATTTTTGGACCCATAGACCTACCCCCAGCAAAAGAATTTTGCAAATGCCCTTCACATGACATATGTTGAGAAGAAAAAGATGTATGCAGGAAAGTTATAATGCATTCTCTAACAGAGGAGCAAGGAGTACATAAAACGTGCCAATTTAATTTTTTAGTAGGCCTTTTGTCACATATGTCCTTGCTATAATATTTGTAATTTAGCTGACATGTGAAGTTAACAGTTAATGCTAATCAAAAACCACATTGCAATTTTGTAACCCGTGGGCCATATACATGCTCTGTCCCTCCTCTACCCAGTAGCAGACAAAGACTGTGGCTATTACATTTTCACTGCTCCATGTATCCCTGCTAGGCTTTAAAAGACAGATTATGTATTAGAATCTGGAAAGCAGGATTGGAAGAAGGGGGTGAAGTCTTCCAGTGTACACACACTGCGACAGACTGCATACAAAGAGTGACAGATGCCAATGACAGAAGTAAATAGGAACCACTTTCAGTTAACATTTAATTTCCCTTTTAGCTGGCACAGCAGAAGGGAGAGGTAGGGAAGTCAGCTAATTCCAAAGAAATGTGGTATTAAAATCAGTTTGTGCATACCCTCATTTTCCCACATCTCTCAGCTGGACCATCCTCAGCGAGCCGCAACACGTACAGATCCATGTTATACTCCCGGCCACCTCGCAGGCTGAAGCCAAAACCTTTGGCTCCTCTTTCCAGCTCAACAGTGTAGAAGTCTTGGTCCTGCTGGAGAGAAGAAAACAAACGCCCAATTGAACAGGAAGTCAAATACTGCTCTACTCCCAGTTTGAAATTATTCAACAACAAACATTATTATTTTTGTTACTGATAATTAAAAATAGAAAATCAGTTGAATTTTCACACACAGACTAGGATTTGCTTCTTCGTCAGACTCCACTCTGCAATTTGGAAAATTGGTGGTGGCTTGTGAAGGGCTTTTGGAATGAATGGGCTTGGCCACGTCCCATGGTGCATTTTTGGGCACTTTTATTACACAACACCTCCTGTGCCCAGGGCAGAAAGGCCTTTTTCTGCAGGGTGTTTAGAATTCTACCAACTGCATGGAAGGTGAGGACAACCTCACTTCAGTGAGTTTTCAGTGAAATGTCTAATGGAACCTGGGCTGAGTGTGTGCTGGCTTTTCCTTTTTGTTACCACATCATCTATTCCTTTGCAAGAAGCTCAGAAGCCTGGGCATTGTTTTCCACAAATGTTATTATGGGGATGTTTTGAAGCCCCTAATAGAAGAGTTTACTTCTGGGATGGCCAGTGGCAAGGAAAGTTAACAGTGAGATAGATAATCTCTCTAATAAGATGCCATCTGCGTGAGCTGGAACACTCCAGCCATCGCCCCTTATTAAGTTTTCCTCTTTTTTGTCCTCTGAATTTATCATTTGCACACAACAATACTTTCTGGAGAGGCCCCTCACAATATACAATTCAATAAACAAACACATAAATTATTACTGCCCTAAAAATGTCAGCTTTTTTCCTTTATTTTTTCTTCCTCAAAGTCTTGATGAGAATGTGTTGGAAATATTTCTCAGCTGAAACAACAGCAACACATATTAAGAAACTAATCAGCAAATTCCTCTTTTTTTTTTTTGAGCAAACAGACTGTGGGAGAACAGCTTCTCAGTAGGAATTTTCAAGGGAAATATTTGAACACAGCCAGCCCTCAAGCAGATTGGAAACAACAGTCTGTGGTAAACAAAACAATTAGAGAGGTGCTCCTTACCTGTGCTGCTTGGGGTGGTTTGAAATCAAACTGGGATTCCTGCTTTGGTTTGGTGTTGTTCCTGCTGTAATGAATGAGAGAAAGAGGGAGAGAAGAAAAATACAGCTCATGGGATGTGAAGGTGATCAAGGAGTAACCAAAGAGAGAGCATGTCAACATGCCCTCCTCAAGGAAAACAATCTGACCTGGTCTCCTGTGGTATTTGCTGAGGAGTATGTGTGGTTGTGATTGTAGCAATTTTTTCTGCATTGGTCAATAAAGTAGCATTGGAGGATTCTGCAAAATAGATTTTGTTTTTCATTATGAGGGAAGACCATTGGCTATTCACTGAAAGAAAAGGAAGTTATGCAAAGGCATTTCACTGGAAATCATCATTATGTTGTTTCTAAACAACTTCAGATGGGCTCAAATTTCTCAATTCCCCAAATTAACAGAGTAATTATGTATATGAAACTGTACATTCATTTGAGAAATGAAAAAAAATTAAAATAAAAAAATTAGGAAATCTGGATTGGAAACCCCTCTGACCCTTAGACACACTCAGAATGAAGACTGACTTATAGAGGAAGAGTTGAACCATGTTTTCTCTGTTATCTAATGACATGAATTCCAATCATTAAAGTCTCTAAATATGGTAGGTTGGCTAGATGAATTTTACAGTAGCTATAACTATTCCAGAGATTATAAGCCTATCAGTCCCCTCCTCCATCAGAAACTGCAATCTTCAGTAGAATTGAGATGTGGTTTTTATCTAATACCTCGCAAGGTGATACTGAATGTGGCTAAAACCCAAACTTACTGAAATCTGCCTTTGAAATACAACCCACTACTGCCTGAGCACTGAAAGTTGCACACAGGGATGTGGAACTACCTGTAGCAAATGCATCAGCAGCTCTGGGTACCACTTACAAAAGGATGTACGGAGAGAATACAGAGAGCAGGAGTAACTCCTAAACTCAATTTCTCCCACAGTAAAAGGCTCTCAGCTCAACATCAGTCTGTGCAAATGCTATATTTCTCTATGCACAGCAGGAGGTGCTTCAAGGAGAGGTCCTCTCTCCTGCTTCCCACAACTGGGATGGGAGTTGCTGTAGACACAACTGAAAAGTGGTTACCTAGGCACCCCTCGTCCCTCACAGATTGGCAGGGTAAAATGTTCCCCCTGTCATTCTGGAGCTGTATCACAGACTTCAGTAACACCAGAGTTAACCCCAAACTCATTCAAAATTCTGCCTAAAATTAAGGACACATCAATGCCAACAGCCAAATATTAGCAACACACTTTTGGAGGAAAGACCTGGAACTCTTGTATATTCAACTCAACACATTTTCCAGAACTACATATTGTATCAATCCTGAACTGAAATTAGTACTGAAGAGTTTCCAATGCTGAGTAGCTCCAGGAGTCAGCAGTCCTGAAAACACCCTTTCCCTCCCATAGGAGTTTGAATTCAGAGGAAGCCTTGGTGGTAGGTACAGGCTTAACCACACAAATGTTGAACAGCTGGTTGCATATGGAGAATGATGGACACAGTCCACAGAAACACCCACTCATCAGGCACAGCATTCCTAGCTAAAGCCACTGCAGTGACAGACCCTTGCTCCTTTGAGGAACAGCTCTGCACACAGGAGACCCCCACTTTGTGCCTATACCCTTTGTAACCAAGAGAGAACCACAGGTGACAAGTAACCACAAAATACTGACCATGATCCACTTTTCAAGATCAAAATCTAAACTGAATGCACAATCACTGGGACAACAGTGACAAAAACTGGATGGAAACATCTGGCTCTCCAACATAAAATTACAAGGTCTTCTACTCTGCCCTGGTTTGCCTCTTAAGCTCCAGGCATCTGGTAATTCATTGTACTGACTATGGAGAAATCTGCCACTATTAAACAGAGTCCAGCTCTAATAAAAAACTGCAGCAATGGAAGGGGTTTTGCCTGAATTAAGGAGAGGTGGTGGTCATGGGCTTACTTGGTCCTTGGAGCTTAATTTACTTCATGGATTTATTCTAATTATGGAGAAATCTAGATAACGGGAAGGTTTTTCCTTTCTATAGCTACTTGCATGTCAAGGGAAACTCAGGAAAGGGGAAAGAGAAAAAGAACCACTTAAACAGATGGGTGCAACAAGAACACAGCTCCTTTGCCTGCAGTACTGTGCCCAAGTTAACATGCCCAAAACCCTCAGCATATGGAGCTGTAACATCTTCCAGACCAGAGCTGGCTTGTGTACAGTAGTTCAGGCAGCAAGAGAGGCTCCTGGTTCTGCCTGCACCTCTCAGGTTAGGCATGAGCAAAACATACCCTTGTGATGCTGTGCCACTGACAGCTGGCTTGTGTGAGGAAGAGGCATCCCTACGGGTGGTTACACTGTTGAATTTTAAGAAATAATTCTGTTTATTTTGTAAAGATGCCTTGATGTTAAAATCTGACTCAAACAGAAGAAGGCCCCAAAACACAGTTATGTGTTCTGTATTCATCCAGAACAAAAGCCTCTGGAATCATCCACAAATATTTGGAGATCAGATGAAGATGGGCTTCAAAGAGAATGCAAGATTCCTACCCTTTAGTAGGTCACACTAATAATACCAAGCAGAGCAACAACACATCTTTGGTACAGATGTATCTTCACACCACTGTACTGCATCTATCTTAAGCCCACCCTATCCCATGAGTCAGGAGTTGTGCAGAATTTTGCTAGTTTTTTAGACACTGATGCAGGATGCATTCCAACCACCATGCAAAACCGGAGCAGAACACAGCAAAAATGATCTTTAGTGCAATTACAACTGCATGTTCTAAAATCTACATATGCCATTGATTCCTTGCCCTGCTCTGCCCTAAAACAATCACCAATTAAATGCCTAATCTAAGCTTGTTCTTTCCCATTCTGCATCCTTGCATCAGCTGGAAGCGTGTTAAAGCATCATAATTTCATGGCAAATGTAATCCTGCAGTGGTCTGTAGCAATTAATTTGTGCAAAACTTATTCCAAAGCAAAAATTCTTGGTGTTTTTAATAATGTTAGAAGAGATTAGCAGTGTGAGTTTATTGTGAGTCTTGTGATGTGCCTTAGTTTCATGTTTATCTGACAAGTGGCTTCTGATTTATGCTCCCCCCTCCTTGAAGCACACAGACCATTTATATTTGCCAAAAAAAGCACTCAAAAGTCAACACAAAGAAAACAACAAATCAAGAAAAACACACAAAGACATCAAAAAGAAAACAACACTGAGACCAATTTTTTGTATCTCATGGGGGTTTAGAGCAAATCTCTCAGCAATTTTCAGAGTGTTGGGTCTTACTGGCTTTCGGAAATTAAATGCAGGTAATACTATGCAAAGTTGGCAATCTGACTTGGAATTTCAAAGTGACAGTAAATAAAAAGACTTGAAGTTTGCATTGCTATGAGAGTAGAGTTGACTCCTTCCCTAGGGAACACCTTTCCACCTTCTCTAGGAACATGTGATGTCAGTCCCAGGTAAGTGTTTTCCTAACCTAAGCAATTTACATGATATCTGGGACACGTAATTGCATGAACAAGACTGGCTGAGCATTCATATCAGGAAGCTATGTTCTTCTTATAAAATTTTTAAACCATTCAGAAGTTGCTTATTTCTCAGGTGGCTTTGCCTTTAAAACAAACAAGCTCTTCATTTATTTAAAAATTCACCTTCCTCGATTTTTATGAGATACTAAAATACAGGTAATGAACAATTCTTCTCTCAGTTTATCTCCCAAAACAGGCATGCGCAGGCCAGCTCTGATGTTAGCCTGATTCACAGCCGTTTTATTATTCATGAACACCTAATTTGCTGCAAGCAGCAGAGGATCATATACCATTTGACCTGGTACCTACTAGACAGTAGGAAAATAAAGCCTTTGTGCAAAACATATCATCCTAAACAGAAACAATTTACAACCAGATCATTTCTCATCCCAGTCTATTTTTATCCTATAACAAAACACAGCATAATCATGCTCTGTGGGGTAACCAAATCCATGTTTCAGATCAGAAAGTTTAAGAGTTAGCAACTACCCAGTGCTTCTCACTGGAAATCACATCATCAAACGCCTTCATTCTTTTTTCAGGTACTAGGTTCATTTCAGCTATACTTCCTCTGGGTTTCTTTCAAATTTAATCACTCTTTCTCCACATTTAAATGCAAATAATGTCCTGTACCACTCTAAGGAATGCTTGTTAGCACTGTATCTGAGTCATCAAATCTTATACTCATGGATTTAACTTAAAAGGAGAGCAACGTTAAAAGGTTTCTGCCTAACGAGCTCTCACCATGAACCCATCCATGGCAGAGCAGGACAATAAATAAATACTCAGAATTTAGAACCACAGCAATTTTAGTTCTGCTGCAGATATTTTACAAGGTTTCTGCTCTGTTCCTATTCGGGGGTCAAGTTAGGCATCTATGTAATGAAACTGATACATAACACAGATCCTTATTTTTATTAAATACTTCAGTGACCTGAAACCAGTACCAAGTGTCTGCTTATTATTAGGGATCCTGCACATTCCCTCTGATCTGAAACAGTGAGATCCTATCTAGGGTAACTCTTACAGTGTTACTCTGCAGGCTCACAGCAGCTCCAGAGCCACCACCATTTAAACAGTCATTTAAAAATGCATTGAGCTCGCTCCCAAAGCAACTTACTGAGAATAAAAAACAAATCTCCTTTTCAAACAGCTTAAAACATGTCAAAGTGTTTATCCCTTTCTGTTATCTCTTTAGTCTACAGCCTGCTTGTGTCTATATAAAGCTTCAGGAATCCCACATGCTAGCAAGCGATTCCCAAATATTCTAAAGCTGCATTATTAACCTAAGGATCAAATCAAAATGTACCAAGTCACGTATCAAATTCGTGGCAGATCATTTTAAGGAGATACATAGAATGGAATATTATTTTTTTAATGTCGAATCAGCACCTCCCTGTTTAAAACCATCTATTTCCATAAAAAGGAACAAAAAATAAAGCTATGAAAGGCTCACAACCTCCCTCACTGCTACCTCCCAAAGTGGGAGTGGGAATCGAGTCCTCCATGACTTTGCGGCTCCAACTGACACAAAAAAGCCCAGGAACAAAACCAACAAGAGGGTCAGATAAGACAGCAGGAAACGTATACTTTACCATCTCCTGGAATGATGCGCAGGGTGACGGTGTTTCCCGCTTCCTTAATGAGGTTGACGATGTCTGAATGCGACTTGTTGGTGATGGAGCACCCATTGACGGCCAAGATCCGGTCGCCTACTTTCAGCTTCCCACAGCGGTCGGCAGGACTCCCTTCAATTATCCGACCTATTTTGTGAGGCATGGCCACACATGCATTTCCCGCTTTTGTATTGGTTTGGGGGTTGTTTTTTGTTTTTTTGGTTTTGGTTTGGTTTTTAATTGTTTACATACGTGGGAATATGGTGAAGGGGAAAAGGAGAAAAAGGGTTGAAAAGGGAAAGAGAAGGTTAAGGGTTAATTAATTAATGCATCAAGCAAAAGTTATTATAGGATAGCTTTGCTGCCAGTGTTCAAAACATTGGCAATCAACTAGTATGAGTGCACAAAGCTTTACTCTTTCCACAAAAAGGTGTTTTGTTAATCACTCAAAACTCCCCCCCACCTGGACTTCTGTTAATAAATTGTGAGATTTTTATTGAGATTTTTATTGACTACAACTGCACTTAGCAGCCCCATCATAACCCAAATCTGATTTTATTTTTGAAGAAAAGGATTGAAACTGTTTGTTTGTAGAAAACTCAGCCTTCCTTCTCCAAGATTACATCGGTGTCAGCCTCTCTGGTCCTTCACTAAACCAACTGCTGTTCAAGGTTCTGCCAATGTTTTGTTCTTTCTCAGTTTAGAAAGATAAAATCGTTCTAGGCCTAGGAGGGAGTGCGGCTCCCTTTCTACCACACAGACCCACTCTATCAGCGCTGCACGGGGAAGCAACATGAAACGTTTTTCTTCCATTGTGAATAAAGGTACTACCAGGGAAGGCACAGGACCACTACAGATGGGCCAAGACTGACAAAGGTAACCTGTTTGGTGCAGGCATTCACCTCAGCCTCTGTTAACCCTTCCGCTTTTATGACCTTATTTGGCGCCAGGGTGGGAACACGTAAGGAATAAAGACCTCCTCATTTAAATACCTCTAAAACCACACATAAAACCATTGAGATGTCTGACACGCAGAGCAAGAGCACTTTAGGATGAATGTGTTTTGGAGACAAAACTCTCCTCCTGTTCCACTGTTTGTTCCAAAAACACAGGGTCGTCCATAACATGCAGAATTGGGACAAAGAGGATACACAACATCACTGAGATGAATCCATTGGGCTTTTGTACGGCTCCTTTATGTGGGCAAGAGGCCCTCAGGCACACAGCATGTGATTGAAACCATGAGGTACAGAGCAGTCACCTCATACTTTGCATCCACAATACATTCACCCTCAAGATGCACTTTCCCATCTCTGCTATAGTCTTTACTTGATTAGTAGTTTTAGAGATATACACTGCTGCACACATGACAAAACTAGAAAGACTATAAAGAAGAAAAGGCCAAGACATGGACATGTGAGGTTGGGAGATGCGATGAAAACTGGCAGAAAGCATTAATATTAGTAGCAAACATCAGGGAGATTTCTTTTTTCTTCTTTTACTATGATGTTAGAAAGTTTCTCTTTCTGGTAATACAAAGCCCCATCCAGTTTAAAGGCTGTTTTGAGGGTATGACTCTATCCAATCCACTGAACACAGATGACAGAGCCCACACCAAAGTGACCAAGGTGGGTTTTAGAACCAGTTTGGCCCATCTCTAAATACTACATATGAAAGAAAAAAACCACAAAGCAGGTCCAGGGCAAGCACCAGACAGCAGAGGGAACACATCTCATGCGGAGTATTAGGAAAAAGCTGAATATACTTGAAAAAAATTAAAAGAAAAACAGTCACAGATCAACAGATCTCCATGAGGAGCCCCTGCACAGAAAACTTCCAGTTAGTGAGTATCTTGGGCTAAAGCAAACACAACTCTTTACAACCTCAGGTCAAGGCTTCTCTGCAGAAAAGAGTTAGAGCGTAGTCTTCATACAGTAAAACTTATTTACACACGTTTGCAAATACATTCAGAAGATAAAAGCACTCCCTGTGGTTTAGACTGAGTTCAGTTTAATCTGTATTATACTACCCCATTATGTTCTGGCACCTAAACTCCTATTTTCAAGAGCAGTTTCCAGCAGCAAGGACAGTGTGAAGCAGCCTGGTGCCTGAGAACTGACAGAACTCGATGCACTGGCTTTCTACTAGATATTTCCCCCTTGAAATCTCTCCTGTCATAATGGCTCACAGCAGTGTTAGAAATGGCCTGTTCTACATCAATACCAGCAAAGGAGGTGATGCTCCCTTGATGTAAGTAAGGGCGTTACTGATGGGCAAGAAATCTCCAAAAAAAAGCCTAGGATAAAGAGGGAAAGGCCACTTCTTGCACCTGCATGCCCCAGGAACCCTCAAGCTGTACAGAGAGCCTCCAATACATTTTGTCTGCAAACCACAACCCTGCTGTGAGAGGCAGTGTGAAGGCGGCCAAGGCACGTGCTCTGCCTTTCCTCTCCCCCTCCATCCCTAACATCTGCCACAGATTAATGGAGAGGGAATACCTTTTTCCACTACAAAGTCCAAGTGGATGCTGCCTCTGGCTGGCCCTTTTGGAGGAGATGGAAAGGGAAGAAAATAGCATCTCTGACTGCTTTCCTCCTTGCAATGACACTCCTGCTCAAGAACAGGCAGTTCTGGGCATACTTGCAAAACCAGCTTACACACATCTCCCTTGCAGCAACACCTGGAAATGGTGTCTGCCTGGCAAAAAGACTGTCTTCAAACAGAAACCACAACCACCCTCTATTAGGGCAGGACATTATGTGTGACATCGCATATACTTCATTTCACCCTACTCTGAAGAAATGGATTTGGGAAGAGGCGAAATGGGTCAAAAAAACACCCTGTTTATTTAACAGTATAAAATGCAGTATTCTGCATTTTATGTATTACCAGCAAGCACTATTAATTAAAACTTTCCATCTATCAGCAGGTTCACTCCATAATGAGGATCAGAATAACCCTGATTGCCAAAGAGAAGTTAATCAGTTTAAGCATTACTGCTTTTAAATCAACTGGCTCGATTCCACCATCAGAAGACATATTTCATTCCACCTGCTCCATTTCTGCACTAGCAAACAGCATCACTGGGAGGATCCCCAGCAGCTCTTCTGAGAGCAAACCCAGAAAGCAACCATCAGCAACTGCCATTGGTGGCAATTTTTGCTGTTCAGGTTGGGATTTCTCATTTTGCTTCTCTCGACTCAGTGCTGAACAAAACCCAGGAGGCAAACACCTACCAAGCCTTTGCCTCCGATTAAGCTATTAATTACATAAATTGGGGCACGCTCACGACTTTTAATTAAACAGATCCCCACTCGCCTCCTCGTGCTGCAGTGCTCAAACCTGCGTCTCATTTGAGGCGCATTTAAAAAACTCCACGACTCACCGAACGTCGTCCCTGCCTCGGGCCGGCTCACGGACGAGACGATGACGAAGCCGAACCCCTCGTTCTCGCCGCGGCGGATTTCCACATCGTAGGGCTGGACCACGGTGCTGACAACGCCACTGCCCCCGCCACCACCGCTGCCGATGCCACTGGTGCTGCCGCTGCCCGAGCTGACGGTGTTGAGGGAGTTCTGGCTGCCCTGCGGCGTTCGCTTCTCCTCCGTCAGCGAGGCCGGCTGGTTGCTGCTGTGGTGGGAAGAGGCCGGGGATGGGACTTCATTCTCTGCCTTGGGAACTGGGGAGGAGGGGAAAAAAGATTGTTTGAGCAGGCTGTGCCATTTAGTGCTTGAAAAGAGATCTCTGCTGAGAAAAAGGCAGGAGAAAATCACCTGCTTTAGTCTAAAGATCATGGCCATAATGACCGAGGGCTCTGTATCCTTTTGGATGTCACCACCAATAGCTCCGTTCAGTGATGGCACCGACCACACATGCTCACCCTCTTCTGTGTATGGTCACGCAGCCAAAGCCTTTCACTGCCAAACTGCAGCAGCAGTATGGTTAAACCAGTGGAGTGCTGCATGCTTGGTGGTATTTTAAACCTAGAGTACATTAGCTGAAAGGTGTCTCCTTGAGCTATCACATCCCCACTTCAGTTATATACGTACAACTGTATATACGTGCACAAGCCATGAGGAGAGACAGTAATATCACACATCCATCACAACACCTGTGTATTTTTAAACTCAGTGTTATCAGTTAGGTAGCACTGATTGCCTTTGATTAATGCGATCTTAAGTAATAACAATCCCCCACACTGGCAAAACAACCTGTGAAGCAAACTATTCTGGGCAGAAGAACCAGCAACTATCAGCAACTGGCACAGACAGGGAAACCATTAAACATTGTTAACATTAACATTAAACAAGTGTTTAACAGCAACTGAAATTGGAAGGGGTATTAGTTTAAAGTCTAATCAGCTACCACAAGGCTTGAAGAAGTCTCGAAAAAATTGCTTAGTCCAAACTCTGCTTGAGTGAGGGCCAACTATACTTAGTGTCAGTCCTGACAGATGTTTGTCTAATCAGCTGTTAAATATCTCCCCAGGCAATCTATTGGTTGCAATATTGGACTTAAATCTTCCCTGTTGCAACATAAGGCTATTATTTCTAGTGCTATCTAACAGGCATATGGAGAACATATTATTCCCTTCCTCTTTGCAGCAGCCTCTTATAGTCTTGAGGAGTACAATACCTCCTCCCCCTTCTCTGCTTTAAGCTAAAGAATCCAAATTTGTTCAGTATTTCCTTGCAGACCATGTTTTCTAGAGCTCTCCTTATTCTCCCTGGTCCTCTGGACTCCCTCCAGTTGGGCTCTCTCCAACTCAAACATGTCTTTCTTGAAGTGCTGGACCATATTGCGCTAAGCCATCATCTGCTGGGAAATCAGGAGAGTTCCCCCCTGCCTACGTCCCAGCAGAGTGTTTTCCTTCACCTGAGCCAACCTCGGCGTAAAGCTCATGGCCCACAATAGCTTCCACTTCGTGTTGCTCAGCCTGTTCTCTGCAGCCCATTTGTACAGCTGAGAGCAGCATATTGCACTTGTCCCTGCTGAATGGTTGCCTCCACTAATCAGGTCACTTCTCCAATTTGGTGAATCAAAATTAAGTTGAAGATCTTAAAAGCAACAGAAAAAAAGCAAACAAAATCTAATCCTCTAAAATCATGGTCCAAAGAAAAACGACTTCAAAATATCCTTGGATAGAAGTGCTGTCTGCACTTAAAGTATGTACTAAATATATAGTATTCTACATATTAAGAATACAGGCGCATAAAATTCCCCCTACATGAATCTCAAGACAGAGAGTACTCATTTAGGTGAACAATCTTTTTTCTACTGGCATACGGATGACAGGAGGAACAAGGGACCAAAATTCAGGAACAGCCTTCTCTACAAAATTATACCAGAATTTAAAAGCCTGCAAATATAAGGTGAAAGAAGGGATTCTGAATAATTTATCCTAGAGTAAGTGTCCACATTTGAAATGATTCAGAAATAGCTCGGTCTGGAGTAACATGCTTCTGAATGAAATATCAAGAGAGATCTCATGCATCTAAATCTTTCATGGTAATTTCCAGCCTGGAGGCTGTAAAACTGAATAGAAAATCTATGCACAAAAACAATACCAAAATTCAGCTGCCCTTCCCCTTCCTCCCAAAGCTCTTCTCCTAAAGCTTCTCTCACATTGGCAGCCCTTGGTCAGGAATTAAAGAGAGGCTGTCAGAGGAGAGACATTACCTGGTGTTTAATCCACAAAGTGAAGGAGGAAAGAAATGAGAAATGAGCATTTAATATTGTGCAGAAGAAGCTCAGTCCTGGATAAGAACAGAGCTATTTTAGAGGTACTTTTCTAGTCCTAACTTCCACTGAGGGCCTCATTTCCAAACTGAATGTTATTTTGATGCTCTTTAAGATCAAAGTACAGCATTGTCTATTTATCCGATGATGCCTAAACTTGAAAGGCTACACAATATCCTTTCTTTCTGAATAAGTGAGCTAAACGAAATGCCACAATTGAGCTCCCTAAAGGGATTTACACAGAAAGAGGCAGCACCCCAAAGTTACTCTCCAATATTAAGCATGAGGTCACATGTCATTTTAGAAAGCTCGTACTCATGTCTTCCATTTTCTTTGCTATCAGGACATTTTTCAGTCACTCATCTGGGTGCCACCAGGCAGCATCACTTCTCTCTGCATCTCTGTCTTTCTGCCAGTTTCTTTTTTGTCCATTTAGACCCTACACTTGTGCAGTGTGTGCACAATGCCCAGCATAACTCAGCACACAGAAACCTCTCTAGACCTGAGCAATCTGGTCTAGTGGAAAGTGCCCATGGCAGAAGGTTTGGAACTGGATGATCTTTAAGGTCCTTTCCAACCCAAAGCATTCTATGACTCTATGATAACAAACATGCACGCCCTGCACCACCAGAACCAATAATGTTTACAGTTTTCCATCCTGCAGTTGGTTGACTACATGTTGAAGTTTCCCCTGAGCCTGGGACAGCAGACACCACACACCACTGCCTTCACCTCCTGTGAACTCTTCAGCTTTTTTCCCCTCAGTTCCAGTTTAAGGGTGACTATCAGGCAGTACATTTATTTCAGGAAGTAAACAGAAAACACAGGCAGTCAGCCACAGTGTTGTCGCTGTATAAGTAGAACTGAAAACGATATACTGTAACCAAACAGTTCCTCATTTTATCCAAAACCTTCACAAAGACCGGGAAATCCAACTGAGATTGAGCGACTCTTGACTGGGGAAAAAAATACTTGAAACTTATTTGATCAAGAACAAAGAAGACTAAAAACAGGCAAAAGAGGAAGAAGAACAACACATCCCCTGAGTTTTCCCAGTACTACAAGAAGCTTTTTTTCCTTTAAACCATTTGCTGAGCAGATGGGAGCCTGGCAAGAAAACCTACCCCTGCAGAGAGACATTGCAGCCTACCTGTGTAAACCACTTTGCGCCTGACGGTCAGATTGACATGACCTTGTTTGGCTGCCTGTTGCATAAGCTGGACGACAAGCTGGTGTGATTTCCCGACAACAGGCGTCCCATCCACACAGATCAGTTCATCACCCGATCTCAGGCGGCCGTCAGCATCAGCAGCACCCAGCGGTACAATGTGACCGATGTAAATCTGATGAATTAGCAGAGGAAGAGAGACAGATGAGAACCAGCCCAACAGCCAGCTGGAAGCAAGGGGCACTCGTAGTTAGACCCAATTTAGTAGGGACATGAAATTGTTGACAAATGTCTGCTGGTCAGGAAAGTTGCTCCTGTGAAAGCAGTTCTATGTGAATGCAGCCACATCATGGAATTGTAATAAATTGACATCTTGTTTCTTTAGGCAGTCCATTCACTCTAATGACAGATAGCCTTGGGAAACTCGTTCAACCAGACAGTGACCAGACAGGAAGACGGTTAAAAGCACTGAGGGTCTTGTCAGGGAAGTTGAGATTGAGTTACTCTTTCAGTTGCCTCTAGGGTTTACAAGCTTGGCACCGCTCGCCTGTCCACCAACTCAGTCTTGGTTTATCTTCAGTGAGTTCTGTGGAGTTACTTTAACTTGAAATGAATTCATGATCTCTCTTCCCATAAATGAGCAAAATAATTTTGGCAGGGAAAAACATGGAAATTCATGCTGCCATTACCTAGCTGTGACCTGTACAGCACGTGAAAGGACGACACCTCCCACAGGCACTGAATTTATGGTAAAGAAGTTGAGTGAATTCGAGAAGAGGATCGAGCAAATAGAAAACCTGGCATTCTAAGATCAAAATACTTGCAAACCTGACCAGGACATCCTTTTCTCAGTATCCAGACAATTTCAGACCTATGTGTTTTTATCTGGTTTACAACAAAAGTAGAAGGAGAAAAAAAATCCCATATCTGTGATGGAGTTCTGGAGTTTTTTTTAAAGTGAGTGTGGGGAGGAGTTGCAGGATACATATAGTCCACTAGTGACTTTAACAGTCATGCTACAGAACAGTTCTGCACATCTATACATGCTACTGCCATGACTCTGAAAGATGTCATGAGTTAAAACATGATACTCACAGGTTCTCCAGGCTCATTTCCACCTAGAATCCTAAATCCAAAACCAGTTTCCTTTCTCCATAGAAAGATATCCTGCTCTTGGTAATCTGGAACTGAAGGGAGAGAAGAAAAACTGTAATTTTTCATCAAAAAACAACACCTTTATAACCAAGTCAAGACTACTCAGATGTATGTGTAGGGGGATCTGCTACTCAATTGTAACCTTCAAATAAGGTGGTCTTGAGTTTTCAGACAATATCGCAAACACAATTTTAAATAGTAAAGGATTATTATTTTAATCACTACTAAAAATTATGCAGTGGTTTCTACTTTCTAGGTGTCTAACTGTGACTTGCCATTTGTTTATCACTATAATATCTCCTTCTGTCAATATTAGCATCATTACCCAGAGCAAGAGCCTCTTCCAAATCATCAATAAATAAATGTGTACAACAGAGAATTACTCTGCCAGAAACAATACAGCTGTCTTCTCTTTCACAGGAGACAAAAGAGCCACTTGTTATGACTTCTACTGTTTAATTAACTTTCCCAAGCATAGTTTTCTGTCTTTCTACTAACACTGCTTTAAATAACAATGGGACAGATCCCCAGTTGTTGTAAATCAGAAGAGCTCCACTCAAAACAATGCAGTTCTCTTGACTCTCACTTGCTTGAGAGTATAGGCTCTGCAAAACCACTGAAGAGATAAAACAAGTTGGAAATATAAAAAAGCCCAACCTCACCTACTCATTAGTATGGAACACCAGCAAGATTGTTACAATGAATATTACATACAGTGAAGTGCTAACCTTGAAGTGCGGTTGAACAGTAATGTTTTATATTAACTTACTCATGCTTGCTTTCATCTCTTTTTAAAAAATGCAAAACTAATTGCTAACATTAAATCATATCAGAAGACAACTTCAGGTTCATTTAATATTTATTGGATAGTATCTGTAACATTGACTAATTTTGTAATGATCCCCTCCCAAAATTTATAATTAATGATAATAAAAAGCTGTTCCTTTACCACTCAGCTGCCTATATTTTCAGTAAAGAAACCAAAGTTTAAATCAGGAGTCTGATTTAAGTAAGTGCCTACTCAGACACAGGATGCAGCACGTTTAATGAAACATCATTTAGTCTTCTGTATCTATGAGCAGGTTCTTTTCCATTGACATCAGTGAGTGTCAGATTGGGCCCTAATTGCATTTTACACTGCCTGTGCCTAATGGGCAATGATTTGGGTCTAGTCTGGTGCTTTTCAGTGTTAAGACTTTTGGTTAGCTCCGATGGTCTCTCTTCAACGATTCAAGAGGATTAAAATACAATATGAACTGAAGATCTGGGAATACGAAAAATTAAATGGATAGGCGAGTGGTAAGGTACAGATGTCTGCTTTGATATTTTCATTTAAACTGGCTTTATATATAATCTTTTCACACTTCAATTACCTGCAGTTATAAACTAAGCTTAAGACCCATGCCCTTACTGAACTGGAGAATAATTTTTGTCCAGACACAATTACAGAGCAGTCAGGTGATGAACACACTGGGCGCCTGCGTGGCTCATCTGTTCTGGCTGAAGGCAGCTCTCCACCCTACAGATGTGTGGCACAACAGCAGAATTCAGACAATGAATTAATTGGTGTTTGTCACTGCCTTCAGCGAGGGGAGCGTGACGAGCAGAGAGACTCGGAAGTGTCTCTCCAGCCCTTCGCAGGCTATTTTGGCAAAGGCTGGCCCCAACCAATTAATAGTGCGTGTTGGACCTGTCAGAGGTAAAGTGGTTTCTGCAGAGAGCTTCAGCAGAGCCCGTTTCCCCTGCATCTCTCAACACCTTCCCATTTGTCAGCTCTCCAGTCTCACTGAACGATGCCGTATGTCCCTGGTTTGGGTACCAGCAAGACAATTAATGCTGCTGGAGGGAACAGCAAGCCTGGCTGGACCAAAGCAACATAAAAAGACAAGTCTATCCCCCAAAGAAGCCAGTTCACCCATGTAACGCTCCTTCCACTGGAAGGATTACAGAGAGGTGGAACACAGATACGACAGACATACAGAAAACACACATTTACACAGAGTGAGTACAAACCAAGCAAAACTCCTTTGACCACTTTTTGCACTGGCTCTGCAGTACAGTGATTCACTGGCACAGCCCAGAACACCCATCCACCTCTGTGCTTCAGTGCAGGTGAGGTGGGACCCCCTGAGCTTCCGTACTGGAAAATTATTTTAGGTTCTCCCATTATTCATTAGCACTTCAGAGAAGCCACTTTCCCTACTTAAAGAGAAAAATGGTGGTGCTCAATCTCTGCTGAAAATGAATGGAAAATGGCCTCTAGGAGTCATTCATTGCATCCCCATACCTTGACTGATCTCAAGCATGTCTGACTCTGATAAAACATGTGCATAGCCCAAATAGCTAAAATTTGCCAGTCTGCTCGTTTGAAATGAAACCAGAGCATTTGGAGAACATTGCAAAAGCGGTAAGAAGAGTTCTGCTGGGGTCATGAGGAGGAATGGAAGGAGAGGTGAGTGACGCAGCCCCGACAATGAGCCACATGGGCAAACTCATGAACGGAACAGGACCATGATACGCCCACCCCACCACCGCCTACACAATCCGCCGCCAGCCAGGACACAGTAAAGCGAGTGCTTTGCACCTTGGTGGCTAACCTTGGCGTATGGCCCTGCCAGACTCCCTTGGTGATGAAGAGCCCCCCGCCACAGAGCAGCAATGACACCAGAACAAGACATCACAAGACACAGATACATTCTCGGCACAGTCTTACATTCTCCAAAACTCGTGGAATTGATTTCTCTCTCTCTCTCACCCTTGCTCAGTCCAGTTGCAGGCGAAGGTGACATAGCTGTAATATTAATTTTACAATTTTGCAGAGCTTAATGTATCTTCTTTCTTGTTAGTTCATTTAAGTAATTGTGACTTTATGGATCATGTTAGGCTTTCATGCATAATTTTTTAAGGTTATAGCTACTATGGATTATGACACTAAATTTCACATCTATCTGCACACACCTGTGCACATGTGGATATATAATAAACACACATATGAATTCATACATTTATGCACATGCATGCAGGTATATTTGGACAACCTCTTTTTTCTCCTCAGAGGAAAAATTTCTTTATGAACACCTTAAATATACTTTGCTACAAAAAAATTTTTCACTTTCATGACACCGTTAGTATTCCAAATGTAAATATTTTTTTCGAATGTTAAAAGAAATTCCAAATATGTGGTGATGAACGATGAACACGGTGTTTACCTAGAGGTAATTTTAATCAAACTTTCCTATACAAACTTTAACAATTATCTTACATGTTATATAAAAGAAAAATCTGCCCAACGTGACATCAGTTTCAACACAAGATGGATTCAAGAATCATCAGTATGAGTTTGCTTTAGTCATTGGCTCATTTGAGGCAGCAGCACTTTCAGTGACTCATAGCTTGGCAAAGTATAAAAGGTTTAAGGCCCAGATTCAGCAAAGTATATAAGGACAAGCCTGAAACTAAGAGTGAACAGTCTCACTGAAGCTGTTGGGGAGTTTCAGAGTTGAGAAGTCCTGCGATTTAGCCACAAAATCTCAGGAGGTTCCATATTTGCAAGAAACCCATTTTCTAAACTACCCCACTGCAGACAAATTCCAGGTTTTTTTGCCTTCTCCTTTTAACCAACCCTTCTGGTGGCATGGGAAGCTTTTGAAAGATGGCTTCAGCATGTTCTTGACAAGATGACCAAGCTCTGCCAGTGAGGTTTGGGGAGGGTGTGATGCCGTGAGTGAGCCATGGAGCCTGCCCATGACTCTGCTCCCTCCCTCTGCTGTGAGTACTACGAGTACCACTGTCCTTTTTAGCAAGACTTTCCCTAAGGGCACGGACACATCTGTGTGCCCAAGAGTATGACTGTAACTGTTTGTCTACTATTAATATAATAAAAGGACATAACCCTACCAAAGGGCTTTTATTAACCATCATCTTGAAAGTCAGCCTGATCAGAAGGCGGCTGCAATTTCTGGAGAGTGTTTTTCTTTTCTATTTTAGGGAGAAAGTATCTAATGTTTGTATCATTGTGCAAATATTTTTAATTCTGTGTAATTGCTGGTGAGTGAACACTACACACCGGGGTCAAGACTTGTTTGTATTATTTTAATTAGATTTGAGGAGAGAAAAATCCTACCAAACAAATTATGTGCCTGAAAATAAAATTCAAATATTAATGATAACTTAGAATATTTTAAAAGCTTTAAAAATTATCTATCGTGTTCTGCTTTACTTTTAATTAAATGCTTAAGCCCTTCAAAGGGATTCATTAACACATCTGCAATTCAGATTAATTCATTTTGTCACTGCTGTTTTGACAGATGGCCATATGTAGGATACGGTATTTTGCAAAGCAATCAGGCCACATGAGAAAAATTTGACAACAGATTGCGCTAATCTTTAAGGAAGTTTAATAATACATTGAAAAATAAAAACCATATTATAAAAATATATTTCAATAAAACAGTGCGAGGTTTTTAGAATTGCGGTTCTCTGCTAAGCCATTCCATTGCTGTTCCTCTCACTAAGTGCTCTTCATGTGTGTCATTCCTGGATCCTGGAACAGCTTCAGTTTTTAAACCTTAAGGGTTCGTCCTTCTCTCTGATTCATGTACACAACTCCCACGAGCAGCAATGAGTTACCCATAACGAGGAGCTCAGGCAGCTAAAACTCAGCACCAGCAAAGAGTGCATTTGTTATCGCCACCAAATGATCTGTTTTCACATTCACTCAGCACAAAACCGGCTATTCTCAAATGTCCTAATCCAGCAAAGACTGGCAACTCTGGGACAGATTGCAGCAGAGCATTTGAGCTCAGCCTTAGCCTTAAAGCATCCCCAGTCCCTTTGGTTTACAGCTTGAAAATAAGCTTCCTTGGACCGGAGCCAAAGCACTCAGCACCTCGCAGGGCTGATCCCCTCACCCCGGAAAGCTGCACGTGAAGGAACTTTAGCCCACATTTGTGGAATAAAGTTGCAGTTCTGATCTGCTGCCACTCAGCCAGAGTCCAGACACAGTGATGGAGCCATTGCAGAATCAGAGTGCTTCCTGATATGAAGATGCATTGGGTAAATCAAAAAAAACACATGCCTTTAACACAATTATGGGTTAGCTGGTGCTTTTGAACCTAATTCTGCTCTATCAACGGCTTCAGTGAGATAGGTCACATAAGGCAAACACAGTCCTTTTTAATGAAATACTGATCCAAGGACAACTCAAATAGAGGAAGAACGCATTTTACCAATTCCAAAAAATTAAAATATTGCTTGTGCTTCCCATGTCTACATTCTTATTATTAATGTTAGTAACAGTGGGATGCACTCCCAGAGAAAAAGGCAGTAGGTGTTCATTATAGATTCAGTACTTCTTAGAAATATCCTGGAGACGATGAATTCATATATTGGATAAAACCTCCTTATACTATTATTTTTAGATGAAAAAAATCTGTCTGGGCTGGGGCTAATGAATTCATCTTCTTGTGTCAGCTGCACTTGAAAAATTGCACTATGTTTTCTTTATGCTCAACAATTTCACAAATGGGAAAAAATAAAACACTTAAGATGATCTAATGCTCTAAAATTCTATCCTTTTAAAATTCATCATATACTTCAACACAAAGGGTTGTTGTTGTTTTTCAGTCCACTTGTTGGGGGTTCAAAACCCTGCCTCTCAAAAGCACATTTCATAATCTTTTTCTGGCTTTTTAAAATTTAAGGCCAGCAACCAACAGAGAGCAAGCCCTGGTCTGGGTAGCTGGGAGAGCTGAGCTGGACCTCCTCAGGCAGTGGGGGATTTTAGCACCCATAAAATGCCCGGTTACTGGATGTATCAGCCACCCTCAGCACTGGCACTAGGGTGGCATCCTCCTGCTGTACATTAGACATTCATTTAGTTCTGTTCACACTTTCATCAGAAGATTGCAGAGAGAGTCACATCTAGCACCCAAAGCTATGGATGTCATGGGAGATGCTAACCTCAGACCCAGAGCCAAAGGGAATGAGTGCTCAGGTAAAGAAGGAAGCGATGATACGACTGTATCTCCACCAGCCAAAGGTGGCACAGGGGTTAAACTGAACTGCAGCTGGGTACAAACACGAAGAACAGCACATGTGGAGCAGAAGACAGTGAAACTGGAGTGCCCAGGGAATGGTTTCTCCCACCACACACTCTGGTGCTCCATGTCAGCAGAGCTCTCTATGAGTGATCAGAGAGCCACACAGTTGGTGCTTGGGCAACACTGGGAACTGAGTCTCTAAGGGATGATTCAGGTTCATAATGAAGGGAAGGAAACACGGTGCCTCCCCGCAAGCTCCCAGGGCAGCAGACCCAGGTTTCATCTGCTAACCACAGCCTCCATTTATGAGACTGGTCAGAAGTGAGGGCTTGGTGAGGGAAGGAGAAGGAGCTGACCAGGAATCTCTAAATAAAACCACCAGTGACACTATGGGATCAGACCATGACAGGAGACAGAGCGTGTCCAACTCCATTTTTCACTTATCTTTCCTGTTTTTCTTCACACTTCATTAGGTACAGCAAAGCCATGTCACTAGCTAAGAATGCAGGTTAATCCCCAGGGAATGTGCTTCACTCCAGCTTAGGGTTGGAAATTCATAGGCTTTTGGACACTTCAAGTGGCACAAGTTTACAAGGAGACAAGACCACATCACACTTTGACCACTCTTCAAAAACTTTCTATCTATGAAATCAAGAAGCCTCAGAAAACACCTTCCTGGAAAGGAAGAGCAAGGGGATGGAAAGGTGGTAGAGAAGCAGTGATGTTCAAACAGGTAAGTCTCATCTGGTAGAAGAGGCAGGAGACAAGGACTGAAGCAGTAGAAGAGGATCAACAGCACTACAGAGATGCTGGACCATGGAAAGCTGAGACAGGGAAGCTGAAGGGGTGTAGCAGATCTCAGTCTAGCAACAGGCCCAGCAGTGAGGACTGTGGCACAGGGAAAGATGGGGTGTGGGAAAATAGGCAGCCAAGAGACAGTGAAAAGGTCTGTTGAAGGCCTCTATTCACAGACAAGGATAAAACCTCTACAAGATAACTGCAGCCATCGAGGAAAGAAGGAAGATTTAGTACATGGTGTTGGAAGTGGCGACTGCCTGCCTGTGCACTTCAGGATTTCTCCAGCTCAGTCTTGGGTTTTATCAGGAAAGACAGACAGGAGTTAAGGCTGCTAAGCTGATACTAATGACTAATTAGTAGGAGTTAAACAGTTCATTAGAAATTAGCTAAGTAGCTGCAGGGGGTCAGAGGCAATGCCAGCACAGCGCCAACAGGAACCACGCGAGCTGAGCAGTGGCAATGCCAGTGCCACGGAACAGCCTTGGCCTTGTCCACCAGGGAAGGAGAAGGAGGAGCTCTACCCACAGCTCTGCAGGGCTGAATAGTCACCATCCTCAGCTCTTGCCCTTTTTCCTATTTCAGTGAGCTGCTTGTACAAGTTCTGTCACTGCACTCTCAGATCAGTATGACCTGGCCCAAGAGCCCGCAGGGTCAGCACACCTAATCCCTGGGAAGGGATGGGAAGGGAAGCAGTGCACAGAAGCTGAGACACCTACAAACTGCATTGCTGAGACATTCAATCCAAACAGATGAATATTCAGCCAAGAAACTGTGACTCATGATTTAATTTTTCCATGATATAAGACTTCAAAGTGACTGGTTTGGTCAGAGAAAAACAGTCCTACCATTCTTCATTCTGAAGTAACGTTCATTTCATACTGGTTTTACCAATTTCCAGTTAGCACATTAAAATCAAACTGCAGGTGATACTCTCACAGAACGAAGACTTTGAAACTCCCTTTTCTGTAACTAAAGTTACTACTGCCTTTCAAAAGGAACCTAATACTCTAATTCTTAAAGAAGCTTTTACAAATTTGATCATCTTCAGCAGTGCAATTAAAGCAAAGCCAATGTGTTTATTCTGTTTGCAGAGAAGAAGTTGATTGAAACCATATTTATAGTCTTGGAGCAGAGTCAAAACCTTGCTGAACTATTAGCCAAGTGCGTAGATTATTAATTGCCATAAAAGCCACTTACAATATGCATTTGATATCTGTATTGCTAAAGTGTCCACTCTGGTCAAAGTAAAATGGCTCAGCTGGATTTTCTCCTCCCCAGGGTGAGGCTGAAAAGCATCTGATATGAATTTCAGCAAACTAATTACTTCCCTTCCTCACTGAAATTCCTATGCATATCAGACAATGAGTCTTAACATCAAAAAAGAGTTTAGGATCTAGATAACAAACTTGGAAATCCTCCTTCAGCCTAATTGAAAAGCAAAATAAAAACATAGGGAAAAAGACGGTCTTTAACTCTAAAGGGATTTTTAATTTTAAACTTTATGTGCCCTTTCCTAGAGATGATCTAAATTCAGTCCTCACCAGAGAGGAAACCGCAGCTCTACCAAGTAGACATCACTGACAGACACCGAATTAACCAACCGAAGCCTTACATTTTCAACAGAAATCTAAAAGATCCGGCCCTTCGCAAAGAAAACACACAGGGAGCAGCTGCCGGAGCCGTAGCCTTAGCAACCACACCTGCTTCATATACTCACGTCGGCTTTCATACATGCTCCTGGACTGGGCCCAGATTTTGAACGGATCTGGCTTCTTCTGCCCAGAAGTGTCCGGCTGGTCTGCAGGCGGTGCCTCCGCGGCGCTGTAGTCGGGCAGCACCTGCGTGCTGTGCACGGGGGACGCGGTGTGCCCGCTGCGGTGGCTGGAGACGCTGTGCTGGGAACTGTTTTGGCTGTCTTTCCTTTCAAGTGGTTGCTGTAAGGAAGGAAAGCGAGTGGAAGGAGAGAGAGGGAGAGAGAGAGAGAGAGAGAGAGAGAGAACAGACGGTTATTGGTCTTTGAGTGGGTGTTTGCCATCAATTTTTCTCCCTTCTTTGATCAGGGTTTCTGCGTGCACATAAGTAAATATATAAATTACGGTTTTGCTGCTAGTTAATGCTGGGTACAGTTAAATTCCCCGATGACAGATTTTGATAGGCAGACTGACAGAAAGACACATGCAAAACAAAGTCATTTATCACAAAAAAATATGCATTTTTTCATCTAACATATAAGACAGATCTAAATCTCACTAGAGGTTACTAGCTTCAGTGCACTTATTTTTTCCTGCTTTAAGGTAGAAAAACTCAACAACCTTCTACTCAGATAACATTATGGTCTAACTTGACCCTGAAAGAAAAAGGAAAAACTACCAGATTTCACTGTGAAAACTCAAACTGTCCCTCTGAATCAGATTCAAGCACAGACCTTACTATGCAAGATCACTTTTCCTCTGCAGTTCTTGCAAACCCCCACACCACAAATGGCTGGACAACATCCCTTTGATGCCTCTGCTTCCCAGAGCATCCACAGGATTCCTGCAAACCTTCACAAATGTGAAAATGTCTATTTGCAGTTTGATTTCCTTGTTTTAATTGAGCATATTAAAACAGGAAAAAATGTGTCTGCCTAAATTCAGGGCTTATTCCAAAGCAGTATGTCAAGAGTTCTGCCTGCTCACTGTTTAGCTAAGCAGGGTACGTAGTTCTTAAACTCACAACAGTGTGCTCAAATGAAGCACAAGTCACATCTGCAGTGCCAGGATTTGTACTGCTCAATATGCAGAAAAATCCTCCCCCAACAAGAGCTCCCCAAACTCTTTAGCAAATGCTTTTCAATGCTCTTTTAAGATGACCTTGGGTTGACATCAAGGTTCAGTGCAATCTCCCACCTGCTCTAACACAGGGAACTGTGTCCAGAAAAACAGAATCTCAGAGGTTGTTTTTCCTACTTCCACTATTTCCCAGCTAAAAGGGGTCAGGCACCGGTACCAAGAAATTTAAAGCCTCCTGCTGGCAGAGGGTACCTGAAAACATTGCAACAGAAGTCTCTGCTTTCAGGAACTCCTCTACTGCAAACCGAACAGGTTAGGGTGGCAAACACAGAGCAGATCAGCCCAGAGGGCTGATGTGCCCACAGGTCTGGGGAACCCTTGCTTCACTCTGGACAGGAAACCCCAGGCAGCCAATGCTCCATCATAGAAGAGATGAAATAATTACAGAGAAGAAAGTCACCATACAAAGTACCCCCTTTTTGAGTCTTAAAAAAATCCCAACAGATTAGATTATTATTGAGTTGCACATACTTCAGGTTTACACTGAAAAAAAAAAAACAACCAGGTCCAACAGCCCAAATGACTTTGACCTCTCAGCCTTGCATTCAAGTTGTTGATCCACTACCAGCATCTTTTAAAGGATAGACTAGATCTTTCAAAGAATGTGTAATTGCCTTTGTCCTTTAAAGCAATTTTGAACAAAGCATACCTGCTGTGATTACTCATCTCCAGACTTTCAAATACAAATATCTGAAACAATTTCCAACTTTTATAGCTTTTTAAGTGGTAAATGAAGCTAATTCACACACAGCCTTTCAGTTTTTAAATGAAGCCATTTTAAAACAGCTATGCTGGGGATAATCACTCCTTCATAATTTTAAAAAAAATACAAAAACATTTTACATCTCTTAGTCCAGCCATCTGGATTGGTTTGTTTGTTTGGCCAAACTACTAAAATAACTACAAGCATCCTGTGAAACTTCAGGCCAATATCACTGGAAATACCTGGGTTACAGAATGTGGAGTACAGGGACTAAAATGTGAAGCTTTATGCAGCCCCTGGAGAAATAGTGAGAACTCTCTGAAAACTTTCTGCTTTAAAACAAAACAAAGTTTAAACTTCAAAAATTGCTCTCACTGTGATATGAAAGGTTTAAATTTTGAACAAACTATGAATTTCGTTTCGTATTTTTGTTGCAAATGGAAGTGTCAGCATACCTCAAGTAAAACCATCTCTAATTAAACTAGAGTTTCAATTGCAAATACACAGACATTTTTCAAGAAATAAGGGAAAAATTCTTCAGAGGGAAAGTTGTCTTCCCCAAAAATAACTCCTTCAAAAAGCCTGAAACATCTCTGTTTAGGAGTTTAAGAGGGGACTAGAAAAAGGGGAACTCAACCACAGTAATAATGCATAAATGTAATTAAATTAATACAAGACAATATTTATTGACTTTCACATCACCAGAGGAGGCCAAAAAGGTTTGGGGCCAAAATTCTTTCCACATGCTGTAGCAGCTTCAGCACATCATCCCCATGAGGAACTGCAGGGGTCTGACCATCCTGGTCACTGCAATGCCCCTCCCACGGGGACTGCTCAGATCAAGAGGTTTGTTTGTGTCCTGGTGCAAGTGGAGCTTTCCCAAGAGAGATGAGCATAATGCCAATGAAAGGATGGGTTCTCCATTTCCTGCCTTGTTCCTAGCTTCAGGGCCAATCCTCCTTGGTCTGGATCTTGCTGTCTGGCTCTCTCAGTTCACACATACGGGCAGGAAAGCAGCTAAATTGTGGCCAGGTGAGCACAGGGCTGTTTGGTGACTGAGTGCTGCAGAGAGAGCAGTTCAGACCTCACCCTGAGATGCTGATCGTGTTTTTCAGTGCAAAGTAAAGCAGATCAGCTGAATTGTATTGACTTCTGACAGTAGCTGCCAAGAGCATGAGGCACTGAACTACCTGAGTCAGTAAGAGCATCCCTGACCCTCTGGAGCCCACAATCTTCTCCAGAGCTGCTGATAAACATCAACAGGTTGCCAGAAAGACTCTTGACTAAAAGTGGCTAGAAATCAAGACCATAATGACTACCTTGAGTCCATTTAAGCAGACTGCACACTTAAATACAGGTGGTGGGATAAAACCCCTTACAGCCCTGACAAAATAAATCCGTGGAAAACTGCAGCTTCTTGTACACTACCCAAGGCCCAGGTCAGGTCTGAGATGCCTGTGCCAGCTTCTCAACACGCTGGCCGAAACTTTGCAGTGCTCATCCTGCAAAACAAGACAAAGGTGTAAAACTGCAAAAAGGGAGAGTTTCTGTGGTTTCTCCCATGGCAGTTCAAGGTCGGGGGGGAAAATGGTCTCTGAATGAAGAGGGATGTGTTGTACAAACATGCTGGGGAGCCAGTTTCTCCTTCTGACAAAAACAGGACACTGGCAGAGCCCCAGGTGCTGCCTATCCACCCAAAATATGTGGCAAGTCTCTTGTCAGCAGCAGGTTGTGCAGAGGAATTGCATTTTTGGCCACAATTCAGCTATGCTGACAATGTATTTATTTAAATCCAAAAGAAAAAAATTAGATTTTTGGAAGAGCTTAGCACTTTCTGCCCCCTGCAGTGATCTTGTCTTCTGATGATCTAGCTGCAAATTTTGTGCTCTAGAGCATTTTGGAGAAACTGGTCTTGATAGTGAAGCAAACTGAGCTGGAAATGGAAATCTTTGCCCCCTTGTGGAGTATTTTGATGCAAACAACAAGGAAAAAAAAAAAGGAAAAAAAGTTTGGTTTTATCCATGTTATACCACAATAATTCCAGGGGAAATTTATGTACTAGAGAACTTGCACACTGAAAACATATTTCCTTGGCTGTTCAATGCAAAAATATTATCCATTTTCATCTAAAAAAGGATCAGCAGGAAACTGAAAACAGAGAGCTGCAGCAACAGCAAACAGCAGCACAGACAGCTGCTGGGAGCACATCTTTGGTGGGGGAATAGAGAATAAAGAACTTGGAAATGTCCAGTCCCATGTATGACTGCAAAAGGTTTCTTCTCCTAATTTGACCCTTTCCCCAAGGTTTAAAAATTCTCCTTAAAATTTGAGAAGTGCAAAGCTCATCAAAAGATACACACAGGCTGAAAAATACAGCCCAAGAAAACTGAGCAGGAAAAATATTCCAAGGCTGTGTCACAGCCTCAGCAAACCTCTCCAAGGGGCTAAAACACCTCCCCACAGCCAGGCAGTACCAAAAACCTGAAGTTGGCCTTTTGGGAATTGGGACTGACAGCTAAAATTAGGACTTGCTTGAGAAAGAGAAGCTGCTGGCAGTAAGTTGGGAATGTGTCTGAACTTTGGGAAAGGACATGAGGTAACAAGAGAGGGCTCATCTCTTGAGCAAAGCAGAAGAGGATAGACACCTGAGTCATGACTTCCCCAATGCAGCAGAAGAAACAAAGAATAAGGACAAGTTAAGATCAAGCCCACTGCTCCCAGCCTGGATGTACATTGTCCTCCGGCTGCAGCTCACTTATTAAACAAGCAATGCTGGAAAACCATCGCCTTGTGTTGCGCAAAGGGCACGGGGGAAATGGGCAGCACGTTCCCCCCTAGCCCCACAGGCAGCTGTGCAGTGCTGGGGACAGCCCATGGCACAGGTTCCACTGGCAGCACCCACATTCACCCCATTGTTGCCAGTGCAGCAGCAAACTGGGAGTCCCTGGGATTCAGTGCATCCCTGGGAAACACCGGCACAGAGTCCAGTGAGATGGCATCCCAGCCCGGGAGCGTGCCATGAGGGGATGGCCAAGAGGGTTGGGTTGGGCTCCCCTCACCCCGCAGCTGAGCAGCAGCCCTTCAACAAACCGAGGAAGGACAGTGCTTGCAACATCACCACTTCCCTGCTTTTGACCATCGCCTTGGCCACGGGAGCTCTGGAGTTCGTGCAAATCCATCCCAGAGAGCCTCGAGGACAATTTCCTCCTCTGCACACGGATGCCCCGATGCACTTTGCTCCAGGTTTCCGTGCTCAACCCCTGCATGTCACCAACGCCTGGGGATGAAGAAGCGGCTGCACCGGCTCAGCTGAGCTCTCGGCTCTGCCCTCCGAGGAGCGGTCGGTCATTAAAGCTGCCGCATTGTGCGGCAGACCACAACATCCCTGCTAATTGCCGCTGCCAATGATCCCATGTGCAGGCAGGGGGAACAGGAGGCTCTGCTCTTTGTGAATCCTGTGCTTTAGAGGCAACAGCACCGCCTAGGACCATAGGAAAAATTACTAAAGGGACCCTAGAGCAAAGTGAGAGCGCTCAGGAGAGGCACACGAGGGAATGGAACTGCTTTCCCAAGGCTGACAGGCTGCTCAAAGCAAGTAGTAAGGAGAAATCTGCTGTTGCACAGCTACACCTGTTTGTAAGCAGCCTCTTTGTTCACCAAGGCAGGATTAGCCTGACATGGATTTAGATGCTGCTCAGATTTTTACGGTGCATAGCTGTCAACCAGGGAGGTGTCTGACACAGCAGGATCCCGCTTCACCCGATGCCAAATGTGCGTGTGGCAGAGTGGGAGCCTCCAGGTTGTGGAAAGACCAAGACTCATTGATTAGGGCTGGTTTAATGACAGAAGTCGGGAGTCCGGATCGCGTGCAGCCAATCCTGCTCTGACCAGGGGAAAAAGTGGAGGCAGAGAACAGAAACGTGCCTGACGCGTCTGTATTTTACACACTCGCTTCTGTTTTTCCGAAGGCTGAAATAATCCCCACGTATGACAGCAGCGAGCACGCAGGGTCTGACAAGGCTGTGATTTGCGAGGGAGCACACCCCGCACTTCTGCCTCCCAACATTAATGCGAGCTGACAATGGTAGAGGCCTGGGCTCACATGACTTTAATCAGCGCTGCCCTAAGCCATCAGAATCACATTAATTATTTCAGGGCTTTCTTTTTGGATGAACAGAGAGCTCGTATTAAAAGCACGAGCCTTCTGCTCAGCCTCTTCATGAACCTCTTGCCCAGGTTTGTGAGGTGGGCTGTGCCCAGCTGCAGGTTTTGGCACCCATCGGGGACTGTCGGTGAAGTTTCACACCATCTTACAACACGGCAAACACCTCACTCGCTCTGCTTCCCCAAAGCTCCTGGGAGAGAATTCTGCCTTTCCCTCACTCCCAACAGATAACTGCAAACTTTCAGGCTTTAAGTATTTCATTTCCTTTAAAAATAAAACATTTCTTTTTGTTGCATACAAATAGCACATTAATTTCTTCCATAATATCATGCATGGAGCTTTAGAGATACTTTAGATCACGGCTTCCGTGCTGCTAGTTAACATGTCATCCAGGTAACAGCTTTACATGGAAATAAGATCAGAGGGGACAAGAAAATACTGTTCTATTGTTGCTTTTTAAAAAAAATTAGGAATCTTACACCTGCAGCACAATCCTGCTCAGTATGAAAATGCCTCCAGAGCAAGCACCCAGACAGATGACTGTATTCCCTGGGAACTGTAATCATGCTCCGTTCATGCTTTGTCTCTCTCGACAAGGTGTGTGCTTTCCCATTCCGTTAATAATTCAGCCAAGGGTACTCAAGAAAACTCAGGGAGTTAATGGAAAAGGTTGGTGCCTATGAGCACCCGACAGGAATTGCTATCTGGCAAGAAGGTGGAGCCTCCCATCTTTCTAAAAGGAAACAATAGCTGTCTTTTTTGGTAAGTTAAATGACAGAGAAGCTCATCTGTCAGGGAAGCAGATCTGTAAACCTGAGGCTTTATTTGCAAACAAGTCCCCCTTCCGTACTGCATTCCTCTCTCATCTCCCCATGCAGCAGGAGCCGTGCAAGGTAATCATGGTTGCAACAGAAAGACAACTTAAAACAATCAAGACCCACAAAGCAAACAAGCCAAACTCATGCCTTTCCCCTTCAGAGCAGACAAACAGACAAAAAATAGTAGCTGAGAAGTGCTTACCGACTTTGGGCTCTTCTTTGGGACCGGCAGTCCTGAAAAATGGCAACAAGGGAAAAATAAACATTAGCATTAAACGTTACCTTCCCTTAAAGAAAAATCCCTAGGTGTATCATCCGAACGTAGCCATCTGCAGAGTTATGTCAGCTTTCGCTCTCGCATCGGAGTTACCAGTCTGTTCATATCGAATCAAAGCACAGGGAGAGGGAGAGCGAGCGAGAGACGGGAGCGGGGAAGAGGGAGCGGGGGGAGCGCTCTATCTGCATTAGCTATGCTGACTTGTGCTGCAGCAGCCGGGAGGCTGGGAGAGAAACCCACAGCCCTCAGCGGCTGCCGAAACCCAGCGCTCGGGCAGAATCTCAAATGCTCCCCTGGATTACGGGAGACTTAGCTCACAATTAAGCCGAGGCTCTTTCCTTTTGACGCGATCAGCTCGGCGATTTTATCGGACCAATCGCGGAGGCGCAGGGCAAACAGGTTGATTTTTTAAAAAGTATTCCTCTAGAAATTGATTTTTGAATGGGAAAATGGGCACTGGCTTGAGCCTAGAGGTGCGGGCTGGGCAAAAGAAAACAAAAGCATGAGGAAGAATAAGCTTTTATCTCTAAAACTGTGAATATTACTGAGAAAACACGTTTTCCTTCCTGTCTATCCTCAGTGTAAATCTTTGAAGCCAGAGGTTTTATCTATTAGCTACAATTTCAGAGAGCTGTGGCTTGAGAACAAGCACTACCAGTGCCTTGACCCCTGGGGGGGAAGCTCGGGAGCTTGGAGAAGGGGGGTTTACACAGGTTGCAGTTGATGTAAAGGAAGAAACAACTGTGAGGGCACCAGGGAAGGTTTTTTCAAGGACAATTTTGCATTTTGAAGCAGCCTCTTACTTGCTCTGTGATGAGCAAGAGAACTCAAGAGAGATTTCAATCAACTACTTGTGCATATAGCCCAGTTGCCAGCAGCAAACACTTGTCCAGGGGTTTACCTACAAATGCAGGAAAAGCTCTTTCTTGTGCCTTTTGCAAGAATGCCCAAGACCTCCCTTTTCTATAACTGTTCGAAGAGAGGAAACTCCCCATATTTTGCTCTGTGTGACACTCCAGAAACAAACATAAACCTAAACACAGATTACATTGCACATTAAGTGCTCAGTAATTCAGATGTTTGAAATCTGCTTTTGTCTTTAGCATGTGATTTATGTGGCATTTATGCCGCATTACGTTTTCTACTTTATGCATTTTGTTTATTCTAAAACCCATGCCCTCATCTAACTTTTACACAGAGAATAAAATAAGTGATGCAAGTGAATTACAAATCTGTCTAGGAAGATGCCCATTTTAAGGTAATTTGGGAGATGTTAGTTCTGAACAGGGAAGATCCACAACTAAAAATGATAAACAGGGCTCACTTTGCTGTTGCTCTCAAACTGGAATGCATACTGCAACGAGGATTTTAAATGAAATATTTTCAAGCTTTTGAGGAATATCTGTGCTCTGCATGTCACTGATGCATTCCCAGCCAATAGCTGATATCCCTCCAGGCACTGATTGATCGAGGGACAATGAAACATCAAAACTGTTTGAACTAAACAATCAAGACTGCAGCTTCATTTTTGCTGACGGGGACTGTGTTTGTATAATACACTTAAAGAGGAAAGTGCTAATAATGTTCATGGCAAGTCACATTTTTAACAGGCATCATTTATCAGAGATAAACACACAGACAGAGATTCTCCTCTCTCTCTCCCTCCTTCCACATGCATGCACACACGTTTACTCTCCCTTTCCAAGAGATGCTCTTTCCTATTAAATCAATAGGTAGAACAGATCCCCGTGCACACATGCACCCTTAACACACCAGCATGAGACAGAAAAGATATTACAGCAATTTAAATGCTCCCTCCAAAATATAAAGCAGAAATGCAGCTGGGCTGTTCATTCATATTGTATCAGAATTCAGTTTATTGCATCACAAACATTAAATGTTAAAATTTAATAAGTATAAAGTACTGAACAAACCTTTCCTTTAAGTTTGTCATTAATTTTGTCTGTTCCGATCCCAAAGAGATGGAAAACAGTTGAAAAATAATGGAAAACACATCAAGACCATTGTTTGGCGAGTCCTTCAGAGGCCAGTGTATCTTACAGTGTCACTGCTCTGTGCCAGACTTTGCAGCAGAACAAGCAATAATTGACTTTTCACCAAAATAAGTGACTGCAGAACACGTTACCAAATGTTAGCAGTTTTTCATGGGACAAGCTTATAGTCAGGGGAATAACCTGCCTGTACATTTCCCTGTGAAAATGTTATTTATTCATCTAATTAGGGTCTCATTTCAGAACTCCAGCTCTTGACGCAGCAGGCCAAATGAGCAAATGATAGGTATAATGGGTAGTTTTCATGCTCAGATGATGGAATGGATACAGTGTTTAACAGCGATGAACACGAAGAGCTTGAATAACCCCCAAATCCCGGGAGCACCACTAGTGAGAAAACGCCAAGCTTTTCCAAAAAGCTTCTGGGAAAGACATTGCCCAAGCCTATGAATCTGGAATATTGACAGCTATTGACAATATTAATCTTTTGATTCCATTAACAAGTCTCATCACTGCTCACACTATGCCTTGCTTGGAAGCTCATCCTTCCAAAGCTGCGTGTTCTCCCCTGAAACCTCACTGCAAATTTTTCCAAGGTAAATGGGCCAAGTGTGGACTGAACACCCAGTTTGCATCTTTCTGGCATTGTCCAGCTTTTTAGTGGTTGGAGTAACAGCTTCACATCCCTGGCTAAGAGAAGCCAAAAGGCTTTTCCCTGCTCTGATACTAAAACAGTAATAGTTTATACTGAGACTGTTTGCAGTACAATTCCTCTGTGATTTGCTGCCTATGGACACCTCTCACCAGTACCTGAAATGCATCTTCTAATTTTGTGGAGTTTTGGAGATGCAGATTAGAGAAGATGAAAAAGTCAAGCAATTGAATTGGACTGTTGTCACCACAGAGTTAACAATGTTTTAAAACAAACAAGCACATCTGGTAAACAATGTCAATATGACCTAAAACCCCTTGAATGGGCTCATTGTAGCTACATACTAAATGTGCCTGGAATTAAATTAATTAGAAAACACAAATTACTCCCCTCTAAATAACAATGTAATAAAGCAACTGCTTAATGAAAAATATCAGTGATCAGTGAGCAATCCACAAGAACAAAAAAAGGGATTGTAATCAAACTAAATTCATGGACTCGTCAGCAAGACAAGAAAGGCTTCATACAAGGTTAGTCAAAAATGAGTCAGATGCAGGGATCTAAATTAAACTAATTATCACAGAGATTATTACATTTATCTTAACAAAACCCTCTCTCTTTTCTCGCCAGTACTCCCTAAAGCTCTATGTACAGCTGGCTGCATCCATCTGCTCAACTGCATTTTGTAACATAGGGTAAAAAATGCAAATCATTAAGCAAGTTTTGTAGCATGACTTAGGCACTCTTAATGCCATTACCCATTAGGAGCTGTATTTCTGTTGCGTGACACTGTGTTATGTTGTGAGCAAAGTGGTCCATGAATTAAGGCCTCAACTCAGCTTACTTCATATGTGGCACGTGTTAATTGTTCAGTCTTATGTGGTACAACTTTTGGAGTTGGGAAGCTGTAAGGTTCCTAACCCTACCTACGATGAGTTCATGGAAGAACACATGGGACAAAACTGTGACCCCAAGTGTTGCTGTTTCTAACATGCAATTCTCCTCTATTCTTACAGGAACATTATTCTCAACTCCTTTGTCTTTATGCAACCTAATTAACATGGGAAGGGAACACATCACATGGTAAATTCTGCTTTACTGAGCATATACAAATGCAATGTGTGATTACAGACCCACACCACAGCCTGGGCTTGATTCTGGTGAAAGCTCAGAAGGCCATAAATGCTCAAAAATTATCTAAAGGGATACCAGACACAATGTGCCCTGCTCCACAGCCTCATGTTTTAAAGATGGTAGATCAAAATTATCTAAAGTTGAATCCTAAGGAAGACCTACCTCTAGGCTCCATAGGAGTCATCCATGTGGAGGCCAGCTGGTGTGAACACTTTGCTCTTCACCACACACAAACACACGAAAGTATATATTTCAATGGGATTTCAACTGAAGTTGGAACAATTCAATATCAGTTTGCACAATCCACCCACAGGACAAAGGTTCCTGGAATTGCTAAGAGCCAGTCTGGAAGCCAGACTATCATCTTATTTATGGCTTACAACATCTGTGGCTACTGCTCAATGTTTTTAAGTTTTGGAGTGGTTTTGCACATGAAGGGGAAAAAACCAGCTGTGCCTAGATCTTCACTTCTCGCAATTCCTGAACATTTCCAAACTGGACATCTTGTGGACCATCTATATCCAACAGCAAAATAAGCCATGTGTGAGTCTAAGTGGAAAGGTCACCCATTAGGTTTTGCCATTATGTTGTCTTCAGCCCAGAATGCACAAGTGCTGAAAATTAGTTGGAGATGAATAAAAACACAAGAAAAAGATTTCAGACTGTGTCATAAGGTTAACATTTACAGAGAAAATGTTCCTGCCTGGAAAAAAAAACAACCCTTGAGCTTTCTAAATAGCGCTTACACCATGCTGAATAAAAACCAAAGGCTGTATCAAAGAAAACAGACACTTTGAAAGATGAGGTTTAGGTAAAGTACCAGAGTCTGAGGGTACACAACCATGTACCTGGCATGGAACATTGATTACTGCTTTCTGTGTGCAAAACAAGGAACTTTAAATAATTAATGCTAATGGCCATTAGTGCTGCCAGGGGGGCAGGGAATGGGAGGTTGGTGGTGACAAAGCAATTCCCTTGATTCTGTATAATCCATTGCCAAAGAATTTCTAATAAAGGACAAATACTATCTGAAAAAGTAGATGAAAGTTGGTCTTTTCCAGACTGGAGAAAGAACAAGAATAATCTGCAGCAAGAGAGGCAAACCTATGCAGGCATAAGGAGCACCATCATGAAGAAATCCCCTACCTGTACCTGCCCA